AGTTACTTTCCTCTTCGTGTCTTGTTTCCACATGTGGAAAAGTGTGAACTATCCATTCTTCTAAGTGAAGTATCACAAGACTGGAAAAACAAACACCATGCGTACCCACTGTTAAATTGGAACGAATCAATCAACACTCGTGTGCACATATGGAAATAACATGCACTGGAAATGAAGCAGGAGGCAGGGGAGGAGGAGAGGAGAAATTCACACCTAATGGGGACAGTGCACACTATCTTGGGGATGGGCACACTTATAACTTTGACTCAAACGGTACAAAAGCAATTTATGTAACCAAAACATTTGTAGCCCCATAATATTCTGAAATTTTGTTTAAAAGTGTGAAATAACAATGGCAATAGGGACAGTCAGATTTGAACCCTTCCGAGGACAGCTGTGAGGCTTTGGGTGTAGCCATGAGTGCAAAGCAGCAAGCTCCACAATGACATGAAGCCACACGCGGCCCTGGTGCCTCCCCAGCCCTTGGGCCGTTAGCTGCGTGAGTCCGGGAGTCCGTCAGCAGCCCGAGTTTTTGAGGTGCAGACGGAAGAGGTACCACCCTGAGGTAGTTGGGCATAAAATCCAGGTGATTCAGATAAACTGGGGCTGAGCTCTAGAAGGCCAGGATACATGGCTCTTTTCCAACCTCAGCTTTGTCAGAGAGACTTGGCCAAGGGCTGCATTTATTTTGGCAAATAGTGTACTTAAGGAAACCCAAAACATTTGCTTCAATCAACAAATTCCTTATTGAACACTCAACAGTCATCACAGCCTCTAAAGAAAACATCTGGGTAAGTAATGTTGTTTCTAAAAGGAAACGAAGGCTTCAGTCTCTGTGGTTTAGGCTGCCAAGATGGCAGGGCCAGGTAGATTTTCAAGACTTTCCCGCCGCCGTGGAGACGTGGGGAGGTGGTGGGATACGGCAGCTGCAGTTCTTATGGCTTTCCTCTTGCACTCGGGAGCCCTGTTCCCTCAGCTGGGGAGGAAGCGCCCAGTGACAGAACAGCTCCCCAGGAGGAGAGATGGAAGTGGGCGCCTCCCCAGCCCACACCCCCCCCCCACTGAGAATCGCCCCAGGCCCTCAGCCTTCCCGGTAAGTGACCCCACTCTTCCCAGAACAGAAACTGCCTCCAAGAAAGTCAGTTGCCCTGGAACCGGGAATTAGGGCCAGAAGGGCATGTTGATATGGGGGTGAGGACACCATTGTACCTGCCACTGTACCTGCTGAGCTCAGAAAACAGGGCCCCAGGCTGAGGGCTTCAGAAGCAGCCTCAGAAGCAAATGCTTTTCTCTGTCCTCCTGCCTTTCAGTCCCATTCTCCCCAGACGCTGGCCATGGGAACTAGAATCCCTCCTCCCCAAACTGGGTTTAAAAAGCCAGGACCCCCTAAGACCCCTGTTTTATTCCTGAAATCCAGTCATAAAACATAAAATTATTCTGTGTAAAAACTAGCCCTAAAGAAATGACCTGACCTACCTTGTTTGACTGCAGGTCATAAGACCCCCATTCCAGAGAGGGTCCTGCCCCGCAGGTGGAAGGAAGGGATACAGCTCAGAGAGGCCAAGAAGAATCTAGACAGACAGGCCTTGCTGGGTTTCCCCACTTAGTCCATTAACTTTAGATCATACCCTTTTTGTCCAATCCTATTTCTACATGGCTGTCCATACAGTTGAACCTAAGCATCAAAGTGGACAATTTCCCCTGTATCTTTGGGTCTTCATTCTGAAGGTTCCTGTGTATACACATGAAATAAATGTGTATGTCGATTCTCCTATTAATCAAGTGCCTCATGTCAGTGATTTTTCAGTGAACCCTTAGGGGACCAAGAGCCTCTGTCCCTGCACACCCACACTTTACAGATGTGGAGATTTATGTTATGTTATGTTATGTTATGTTATGTTATGTTATGTTATGTTATGTTATATATATAAAACACAGAGGTATCTATCCCTTCGATGTACTCAAAACCTTTTCAAATAAGAAATAGCCATCTATTGGATAGAAGAAACTAAAAGTTTTCAACAGACACATGAAGCAATTTCTCAAGGTCATTCAATAATAGATGGCTGGGTGCGATGGGTCACACCTGTAATCCTAGCACTTTGGGAGGCTGAGGCCAGAGGATTGCTTGAGGCCGGGAGTTCAAGACTGGCCTGAACAACAGTGAGGTCTCGTCTCTATAAAAAAAGTAGAAAAAATTAGCCAGGTGTCGTGGCGCATGCCTGTAGTCCCAGCTACTTGGGAGTCTGAGGCAGGAGGATCACTTGAGTCCAGGAGTTTGAGGTGGCTGTGAGCTAGGCTGATACTACTACACTCTAGCCAGGGTAACAGAGCACGATCCTCTCTCAAAAAAGAACAAAACAAGGCCGGGTGCGGTGGCTCACGCCTGTAATCCTAGCTCTCTGGGAGGCCGAGGCAGGCGGATTGCTCAAGGTCAGGAGTTCAAAACCAGCCTGAGCAAGAGTGAGACCCCCGTCTCTACTATAAATAGAAAACTGATATATATATATAAAAATTAGCTGGGCATGGTGGCGCATGCCTGTAGTCCCAGCTACTCGGGAGGCTGAGACAGAAGGATCGCTCGAGCCCAGGAGTTTGAGGTTGCTGTGAGCTAGGCTGACGCCACGGCACTCACTCTAGCCTAGGCAACAAAGTGAGACTCTGTCTCAAAAAAAAAAAAAAAAAAAAAGAACAAAACAAAAAACTCACAGAAAAGCCAACTGGAATTAAGATTTCAGAAATCCAGAATTGTCTTATACCCTATGAATGAGAAACACTTCCTCCCTTAGAATGCTGCACATACATAGCTTCGATTACCGGATAATGTGAAGTAAACTGTGTGACAGTGCAGGACGCTAAGTGGCATTGTAGCCTGAGAGATTTAGAGGATTATCAAAGCAGACACATTCCACAGAGAATTGCCAGCCCTGAAATCCCTGTACCCAGCAGACCTTTCGAATTATGTGTATTTTAGGTGATGAATGTTATCATCTGCTCTATTTTTAGCTTTCCAATCCTACAAAAGCATTTGCTAGAACAGAGAAAAATCTCTGTGACAGAATCTTATCAAGGGTGAACTGCTCACCTGGTATCTCAGAGACAGAAACAGTACAATTTCGCAGATTGCACTTTCTAAAAAATTTTCTGAAAGGTAACGCAGATAGCTTTAAGAATTTTTACTTCTAAATTGTAGAATACTTAACACTCTTTGTAATTGGAATATTCCTCAAGGTCTTCCAATTAAATCATTAACACTTAGTCTTTTGGGGCATGAAGCTGTTGAGAAGTCTGAAAAAATAGGATGTGGTTTTCCTTGACATCCATATTTTAAAACCACCACCAGAGTTGTTTTCACAACAAAGTATAGAGTTAGCGGCTTGGATTTCTATGAAGAGCTCACCGCATTCATATTTCCATGCAATGTGACAGGATCCATCTCACAAGTGGACAATTTACCTGGGAATCTCCTTAAACTCAACATGACCCAGGCTGAATTCATCATCTTCCAATCCAGCAGCACCGCCGCAAATAATCCATCTACAGACGTCGATGGATTGTGCTAACAGTCAGAGAAATGAAAACCGCAGTTAGAAGGTTAACTGAGAAGCAAAAGGAATTGGAGGTTCAGGGGAGACATTTGCCCCAGACTGGGCTGGGGCCTGAGAAATGTGTCTCTTCCACCAGGGGGCACCTTTCTGGAGGCCAGGGCTACTTCCCTGGACCCTAAGGTGCCAGCGGGCACGGGGCTAGGATGGTAGCTTCCCCTGCGGATTGAGGATTTATTTCTGCAGAGCTTATGAAGACGCCGTGCTCAGGAGCACAGGGGAGGCCACAGCCTCTGATCTTCTCCAAGTTGCCAGATGTCACTTTGGACGCCTGGGCCCCTTTCGTGGGGTCATCAGGGAAGCCAGGGCCACAAACCCCACCCATCCCCCAGCCACCGTGGCAGGGTATGCCACTGGTCTCAGGGCACGTTTGTCAGAGAACCTGGTCCCAGCGGCGGGTCGGAGGGGTCGTCCCCAAATCAAGGCCCAGACGAAGGCCCCAGACCTGCGGGAGCAGCAGCACAGGGCTGGTTTTCAAGCCCGGGCTCTGCCACTTGCCAGGGGGAAGTCTCTTCCCTTTTCTGAGCCTCAGTTTCTTCATTCGTGAACTGAGGGTGATTATACTATCAATTTCAAAGGTGTGAGAATTAACTGGGAGGTGTGAAAGTATTTTGTTAAGTGCACTGAAAAGTGAGATATTATTATGAATTCACGAGGAGAGTGAGGCTCATTGTAATATATTAGCACCCAGCACGAGGCCCTTTATTTAAGGAAATACTTAACATGTGAGGAGGAGGAGGATTATTACGACTATTTCACAGTGTGCTGATCCCCCTCCCCCACCCCCAGTGGAGGACCATGACTGCCGGGGAGGAAGGGGTGGCCTCTGGCCTCTGGTGGGAGCCGGAGATTCCTGGGGGTAGTCTTTTGAGGTACATGGCAGCAAAGAGACCAGTGTCAGCCTTCTATAGGCATCGGGCTCTTTCTTTCTTTTAAAAAAAAAACCAAAAAGTACCAATCTGACAGGGCTTTAGTTTCCAGGCAACCATGTTCCACTGAGTCCCACGTCTTGGCAGTTCTTTGATGCGTGAGTCATATTTATGGTGAACTGCAGCAACTCCATGCTGCAGCTTAGACCCACACGAATGAGACCTCAGCCGGTTTCTTAACCTTCTTTGTACCTTTGCCAGTCTGGTGACATCTATGACCTCCTTCTGAGAATGTTTCTAGATGCATTAAAAGTAAAATATGTAGCATCATAAAGGAAACAGATCATATCAAATATTTGAAATTTGTGATAACTAATATATTTGTGATAAATTAACACATTCAATAACAAGATGGAGCAGGTCTGATCTAACTATCAAAATTGTGAGGTAGGGGTGCAGTGGCTCATACCTGTAATCCCAGCACCTGGGAGGCTGGGAGGCTGGGAGGTGGAAGGATCCCTTGAGCCCAGGAGTTCAAGACCAGCCTGGGCAACATAGTGAGACCCTGTCTCGACAAAAAAAAAAAAAAGAAAAAGAAAGAAAAAAATTTTTAAACTTTTTAAAAACTTGTGAAGTAGTAAGAAGTGCAAAAAATAGTTCATGATATCTGAAACAACTGTCAGGTGAAAAAAAAAAAGTCTGTAATTTCTGTTGGTGACCAACTCACAGGGACTTACAATGCTTCTGTGGTTTGCTGCTGGCATTTATAATAGAAGGAAATGCTCAGTTTCACTTGGAGGTTAGTAAATGTCCTATCTAAGTCCACGGAACTTCCTGAGATCTATCCATAGTCCCCAAGTTAAGAATCCCTTCCTACATCAGGCACGGTGGTTTACACCTATAATTCTAGCACTGTGGGAGGCTAAGGCGGGAGGATCACTTGAGCTCAGGAGTTCAAGACCAGCCTGGGAAATAGTGAAAGCCCATCTCTATTAAATAAATAATAAAATTAGCCAAGTGTGGTGCTGGGCCACCTGTAGTCCCAGCTACATAGGAGACTGAGGCAGGAGGATCACTTGAGCCCAGGAGTTGGAGGCTGCAGTGAGCTGTGATAAGGCCACTGCACTCCAGCCTGGGTGACAAAGCAAGATCCTGTCTCAAAAAAAAAAAAAAAAAAAAAAAAAAATCCCTTCCTTAGAGCAAACAATTCAAGGCTCTCAAGATCTTAGAAAGGATTTCCCTCCCAGCATGACACAGGACCAACTCCCTTCATCCTTTGTCTGGGCTGAGCCTCAAGAGGCCACCCTGGTAAGAATTAACACAGAAGATGAGAGAACGACAATGGGAGGGTTAGAGAGGGATGTGGAGGGAAAAACAAACATCTAGGCTAAAAGCATCTTGAACCCAGCCCGGTGCCCACCTCACTCTACTTCCACGCAGGGCAGCCGGACAGGGGCTGCCTCCCTCAGCCCAAGCCCCTTTCCTTTGTTCCAGTGGCCGATTGGAGAGTGAAGCTGACAAAGCCGCCTTTCTTCACGCACTTGCCTTTTCATCTCTCCTCCCCTCGCCCCTCCTAACCCAGACACTCAACACCTCAGCCCGAGTGCTTGATTGTAGCAGACTACAGTCCTCTACAGAGTACCCTGTACTGGGCTGTCGGGGCTTCCTGATGTGGTTCCTCGTATGTTCCAGCTCATTGCTGGTCCCAAGGTCCATGTCTCTGTCTGGCTTTTGAGGCCCTGTGCAATTTCACTCTGCCTCGCAGCCAGGTCTGTTTCTCATCGGCACTTGGCAAGTGCCCAGTATCCTCCCAGTAGGTTATCTCTCTCTCTCTCTCTCTCTCTCTCTCTCTCTCTCTCTCTCTCTCTCCCCCCTCCCTTCTTGCCATATTCATGACTTTGTCGATGCTGTGTTCTTACCCTGAACCCTTCTCCTCCCACCACTGAGCCAAACCAGATTCAGCCCAGCCCACACGATGGAGATCCGTTCCCCAGCTGCGTGGAGCTGACCTAGCCCTTCCCTCAAGCCCCGCACAGACAATGCCCCCCAGCTTGGCACCGAAGTGTTTCCCAGTGATTCATGTACAGGCATTGCCTATACATGAAATATACAGGAGTATCTTCTATTCCCCTGTGTTTCTCCCCAGGCCCAGACTAATGCTGAGCATATAGAAATCATGTCATCCATCAAGTTATAAAGAGATGAGGAATTTTTTTTTATTTTGTTAGATCTCTCTGGGAAAGTGCTGTGCGTGTTTGGAAGAAACCCTTTGACAAGCTTACTGGGGATGAGGGTGAACCCTCCTGGGACATTCTCAAGCAACAAAAGAGGTTTGCTAAATTACCATCCATAAGATCAAAAGAGTAAATTCTGGAGCTTCTGAGAAAATGGGAAGGCAAAAAAGGAGTGGAAAGTGAGACAGGGACACTGCACATCGTATTACAATGACCAGCACCTGCCCCGGAAACGTTCAGTAAGATGTTGAAACTCACAAAACAGCTGTTATGGGTGGATTTCTGATGGAAACCAGGGAAGGGGCCAAGTTTTACATGCAGGGTAACGTGAGGTTCTGAGACATTATGTGTGTGCAGGAGCCAGAGGGACAGGGAGGCCTTGGCTGGCATTTGGATTACATTCCAATCAATGGCTGATTGACCATGTGGAGAGTTATCACGGAAATGCTTGTGATGGCTCAGCGGCCCCAGTACATGCGTCCTGCGTCCTCCACGCCCTCCACTGCATCTATTTGAGGAAGTGTTAAGGTGAAGGCGAAGTGGGACTCTAGGATGACGGGTAGTCACAAACCCTTTATTTGATAAAACTCACTCAGCACTTCTCACTGAGTTGGGTTTGGTTCTTAGCTCACCTCAAGATTAGGGAAATCATCCATTCAGTGAGCATACCTCCGGCTACTGGCTTGGATTCAGGTGGTTGTTCAGGTCCATTCAGAGTGTAGATGGAATTTGGCATTTACTAGTTCAGTGGTTTTTAATTGTCCTCATTTGAGGAGGTGTGAATTCTGCCATCCCAGCTATGTTGAAAATGGGATGCATAGTCCTCTGGATGCTTCAACTTTATCAATGTTATAACCCTAGGAGAAATAAACCTTTCATTTAGAATACATGGTAAATGCTCGCTAAGTACTCCACATACTGCAGGCACTCAGTTCAAGTCAAACAAAGACTTTGTTCATTACATTAGGTAAAAATATTGCAGACGCAGCAGGATACATATTAGTGTTCTCCCGGGGAACAGAACTGGGAGGGTATAGATATATAGAGATACAGATGTCTTAGTCTGTTTTCTGTTGCTTGTAACAGAATACCTGAAACTGAGTAATTTATAAAGAAAAGAACTTATTTCTTACAGTTATGGAGGCTGAGGAGTCCAAGGTCAAGAGGCTGCATCTGGTGAGGGCTGGCTTGCTGGTGGGGACTCTCTGCAGGGTGCCCAGGCAGCACAAGGTATACCACATGGTGACAGGGCTGTGCGTGCTAGCTCAGAAACCACCAGCCTCACTCCCATGATAACCCGTTAACCCATTGATCTATGAATGGATTAGTCCATTCATGAGAACAGAGCCCTCAAGGCCCAATCATCTCTTAAAGGCCCCACCTCTCCATACTGTTGCCACACTGGAGATTAAATTTCAATATGAGTTTTGGAGGAAACAAATATTTAAACCATAGCAATAGATATATAAAGAGATTTATTGTAAGGAATTGGCTCACGCAACTGTGGAGGCTGAGAAGTCCTGAGATCTGCAGTTGGCAAGCCGGAGATCCAGGAGAGCCGATGGTGCAGTTTCATTCCAAAGGCGGGTAGGTTCGAGCCCCAGGAAGAGTTGTTATTTGGGTCCAGAGGCAGGAAAAAGAAATCAATTATGCCCGCTCAAAGGCAGTCAGGCCAAGGAATTCTTTCTTACTCTTGGGAGGGTCAGCCTTCTGTTCTGTTCAGGCTTTCAGCTGATGGGATGAGGCCCACCCACAATGGGGAAAGCATCTGCTTAGTCAGGCTGACAATTCAAATGCTAATCCCATCCAAAAATACCCTCACAGACACACTCAGAATGGCATTTAACCAAGAGTCTGGGCACCCCATGGTCCAGTCAAGTTGACACATAAGATTAATCATCACATGGTATGATATTATATTCTAGTTATATAAAGTACAAAAATAAGTAAAATGGGCTGGGCATGGTGGCTCACACCTGTAATCATAGCACTCTGGGAGGCCGAGGTGGGAGGATCACCCAAGGTCAGGAGTTTGAGGCCAGCCTGAGCAAGAGTGAGAAAAAAATCTCTACTAAAAAACAGAAAGAAATTATCTGGACAACTAAAAAATACACACACACACACATACACACACATATATATAAAATTAGCCAGGCATGGTGGCACATGCCTGTAGTCCCAGCTACTCGGAGCTGAGGCAGGAGGATCGCTTGAGCCCGAGTTGGAGATTGCTGTTGGCCTGGCTGACGACAAAGCAATCACTCTAGCCCAGACAAACAAAATAAAATAAAAAAAAAAAAAAAAAAAAAAAAACCCAGGTAAAATGAATCTATTCTGCAACAAAGTCAGGAGAATGAATGTTTGCTCTGGAGGGGAAGGAGGGGGGCTTTAAGGGGCTTCTGGGTCATGCCAGAGTTGATGTTGATCACACAGGTAAGTTCACACTGTGAAAATTTATTGAGTTATACATTAGGGGTCTACGCCCCTTTCTGAAAGCTTTATGCTTCAATTCGACGTGTTTTAAAGGGGGTGGTGGGAGCGGGTACTTGGTCTATTAGAAACACCTGTTGAAATGTCTCAGAAGATAATATTGCTGTGAGTTCCTTCCAAGAAACTTCCGTTTTCTTGGCTGGTACCCATCAGCCTCTCAGGATTCCTGGATGGGAATTTGAGTCATCTGCCTCTTGTTTTCATCCTATTAAGTTAAAGCCCAGGTAGGGTGAGAGGCATCTCTTTTGCCCTAGGAGTCGTCCCTGCCGGGAAGGACCGCGCTGGGCTCTGGGGCACTCAGCCACTGCCAAAGCACAGGGCCCGGGGCAGTCACCACAGGCGCGCCAGGTGCAAACTCGGGGGCGAGCTGAGCAAGGTGAAGCAACATCACAGAGAACCTTGCAGTCAAAATCTCTCCCATTTTTGTTGCTGTCCTGTTTTCCCTGAGTCCCCTTCTGAACACTGTCGCTTTGCTTTGAATGTTCTGGGCAGAGAGAAACTGATTTAGGACCTGAATCGTGTCTGATTCTGAGGGAGAGCCACAGCCAACAGGGTGCTCTGGTTAATTTTTTGAAGGCATACTGTCCAAAGGAATTTTTTTCTTCTTAATTGTTCCAAGTGCACATTCTTTGAGACCCAAATCCACAGGCACCCAATGAAATAGAAATCGACTAGGCCGAGGTTAGGGTAACCAAGGCAGAGAGCCAATCTGAATGATTTGGACTCCAAATTAAAATTTTGGTCTGAATCAAGTGTCTTGTTGAAAGTCTTTCAGCCGGGCGATGTGGCTCACGCCTGTAATCCTAGCACTCTGGGAGGCTGAGGCAGGCGGATCATTTGAGCTCAGGAGTTCGAGACCAGCCTGAGCGAGAGCGAGACCCCATCTCTACTATAACTAGGAAGAAATCAATTGGCCAACTAAAATTATATATATATATATATATATGCCAGGCATGGTGGCGCATGCCTATAGTCCCAGCTACTCAGGAGGCTGAGGCAGGAGGATCGCTTGAGCCCAGGAGTTTGAGGTTGCTGTGAGCTAGGCTGATGCCATGGCACTCTAGCCGGGGCAACAGAGTGAGTCTCTGTTTCAAAAAAAAAGTCTTCCAAAATAAGCTTGTCCTTTCATTTGGTAGAATATTTGTTTAGGCATCATGTCATATGCTGGAGAGAGGTAGACATGGTTTAGGACTCTGGCTCAGCCATCCACTAGCTGAGTGACCTTCGGTACATTATTTAACCTCTTTGAGGCTGTTTCCTCAAACTTGTAGTGTTGAGGGGTGGATTAAAATGTGTATATGGGCCAGGTTCAGTGACTCACACCTGTAATCCCAGCACATTCAGAGGCTAAAGCAGGAGGATCACTTGAGTCCAGGAGTTCAAGACCAGCCTGGGAAACATAGCAAGACCTCATCTCTATAAAAAACTAAAAAATAAAAAAGTTAGCTGGGCATGGTGGTGTGTGCCTGTAGTCCCAGCCACTTGGGAGGCTCAGGTGGGAGGATGGCTTGAGCCCAGGAGTTTGAGGTTACAGTGAGCCATGATCATGCTACTGCACTCCAGCCTGGGGAACAGAGCAAGACCCTGTCTCTTAAAAAAATGCATATATGCAAAGTGCCTAAGTCACTACAGTTACTCAGGTAAATAATATGTATTCATCATTATCATCATCATTTCAATATCCTGTAAAGTCAGTGTAGACCTGGCCTAATGAAGTCAAGGTGGACGAACTAAAAAAGTGCATGAACTCCTTTATTCTGCAGGAAGTTTGTAGCCTTACATTCAACCGCAGACATTTATATAGAATCTAGACAAGGTTCAAGTCATCAACAGGCTTCGAATCTATCAGATTAGAATATTTGTGATTAGGTAAGCTGAAATCTTCAATAAAATGGAATAAATAAAATTTGTTTTCAAATAACTTTAGTGTGGCTGGCTTGGCATTTTTATTACATTCAATCGATCCTTTTGGTGGGTGGTTGGAAAGTAATGTATTTAATTGCATTTTGATGAACTGATGGCTTTTCAAATCTTCATAAATTCAAGAAAACAAATATAAGTCAAACATACATAACAAATGTGTTTTAGATTGACTATTGACTGTAAAGAAATCTTGGAGGTGGGAGGGATATTTTGCTTCAATTTAACTTTCTTGCTGACCTTAGAGAAATTAATTTCTTACACAGTAGTTTATAAAATGTGACTACAAAAGCACTGAGGTTAACAACCATTCTGGAAATGTGATTCTGAAGAAAGTAATGAGATTTTTTTTCTTTGTAGGAGGAGAGAAACTGTCTTTTTCTGAAATTATCATGTCAGATAAACCCAGGGTATAAGCTGAAATGAAAATAATTATGTAACCTTTCTTCATCTTATGTCCTTTTAAAGCAATATAAACTATTAGTAATATACTAGTGAGAATTCTAATATGTGAGTCACAGCCTGTGAATCATGGCAACACATCAAAAGGCTCTGATTGGGAAAAAATGAATTGCAGTCCTGTTACCACACTAAAATAATACCTCCCTCCCACAGGGGCCCAAAGAAAAACATGGTTTTTCAGCAATGAACTTTAACTCCTTTTCTTTATTTCTTCCTGGTTTGATTTTTATGGGAATCTGGTCTAGGATGGCTGGCTCCTCTGGACTTGCATTATTTAGGGTCTCCTTCTAACCTGCATGTAATTCTTGCTCTCTCCCTCTTTCCCTCACTCTCTCTCGCCTTTCTTGTACTCATTTGCTGCTATTTCTACAAAGACCAAGAAACAATACCAAGTAACATTTTTTAGAGCTTTACAGTTTACAAAGCACTTTCATAAATATCTCGTTGGAACATCTTAGCAACTTTATAGAAAATATGTTTTAATTTTTAAAAATTTTTAACAACCATTAGTACATCTAGTTATATATATTCATGGGATACATGTGATGTTTTGATATAGGCATACAACATGTAATGATCAAATCAGGGTAATTGGGGTATTCATCACCTCAAGCATTTACCATTTCTTTGTGTTAGGAACATTCTAATTCCACTCTTTTAGTTATTTTAAAATATACAAAAAATTATTGTTCACTATAGTCACCCTATTGTGCTACTGAATACCAGATCTTATTCAATCTAACTGTATTTTTTTACCCATTAAACCTCCCCACTTTATCCCCTTCCCTAAAAAGTATAAATTATTACTCATTTCTACAGATCAGGAAATTTAAGCCCAAGAGAGATTAAGTGACTTCCCAAAGTCAAATGCCTCTTTAGTCCAAGTAAATCAAATCCTTCATCAGCTCGATGGACACCAGCCTGCATGGTTATCACAGCAGGCAAATGGAGTGATGGACGGCAAAATGCTAACAGGCGTGAAAGCAGATAGTTTCTTTCATAGCAAAGAGCACAGGAACTTGCAGAGATGGCTGTACCACTCGAGAGACAGCACGGCTGACTCCCAGGCAGGTAGAATCTGCCCGGATCTGCAGGTCCTCAGGAAAGGACAGCCTTGGAGGTCATGTATGCAAAGTGAGAATTCCAGTAGACAAAAGAAGCTCACCTCAGCTATTCTCCCAGGTTGGGCGCTGCACCTATTTATCCTGCCCCCAGTATACACCCCCATGCACACACACATCTCCCCTCTTCACCTGCCTCTCCTGGAACTGAATATGCACCTCTTTGTTCCCCACCTGCCAGTTATTACTGCAAAACAAACCCAGAACACTCTGGTGAGGTGGAATAAAGGGAAAGCTAGTTGTCCTGGCGCCCTTCAGCAAGCCCTGGCTTCAAGCCTGGCAGTGGCTGCAGAGCTGCACCCTCTCACAAACTGTCTCATTGAGTACATCAGTCATTCACTCAACAATCACTCATCAGTTGCCTGTGATCACAGAGTGGAAGATATAGCTAAGCAGTCAAAATCATAAATTTGGTGCCCAATGTAAAAGCAGATTCTTCTTTGTTCTGATCCTCTCCTCTGTCTCTCCTTGTCCTTTATGTCCCACTGGTTAACCACGGGGCCCCTTCCCAAACAAAGACGCTGGCACCTGTGCTCAAAGAGCAGGGCGCTCACGCAACCCTCCAGGAGCTCTCCAGGGTCCTGACTGGCCCACAGGAGCCGGGTTAGCGCAGCCTGGGCAACCCCGGCTTCCCAGGCCCTGGACACCCCCCCTCCTGTGTCAGGCACCCCATAGTCACGTCCCTAACCGTGTCATTACCCCCTAATGCGCTCTCAAACCACTCGTGGGCCACGCCTGTCTATCCCGCTCACTCCGTCAGCTCCCCGGTGCCTGCAACCCTCTGTCCCCACCAAGACCTGCGCTGTGGAGGCCTCCCCACCTTCTCACTGCCTCCCAGCCTCCTCCATGCCCGCCTCCCTCCTGAGCCCCTTGTTCCATGGCCACTCGTTCTGGTCCCTCGTCCCTTAGGCCTTCGACCCCCTCGCCCCCTCGCGCTCAGGCTGTCCCCGAGGAAACACTGCGCTGGCTGAGCCGACCCCCGACCCAGGCGCACACTCTCCTGC